CACTTTGTTGGTTTTAAAAAAGTTAATTTAGGTCTTGTTTGGTTGCACCAATTTTATGTTGGCACTCAAAATTCTTAGGAAATACATAAGAAAAATTTGTCAAAAATAACATCACCTTTCACCGGTCTTCCAAGAATAGAATGACCTTTGAATTATTTCAAAATAAAACGACCTTTGATGCACATCCACCAAAAATAGAACGTAACCGGTTAGTAACCTGTTATATAGGTTAATAGTGACACGTGTCACAATGTCATTGGTCAATTTTGTTTAACAATTTTTTTAAAAAAAAAAACCTGAAAATACAAAAAAAAATAACTTAAAATTTTTTAAAAAAAAATACTTAAAATTAAAATAAAAAAATAAAAAAAATAAACTGAAAAAAACCTCCCAGCCACCCTCAATGCCGGTGTCTTCCCCATAAACGCCGGCGGCCAAATCCTCCTAACACGGCGCCAGCAGAGAGCCTCCTAACGGCGCCGGCAACACAAAGACCTCGACCGGCCAACTTCTTCTACTAAACCACCTTCCTCCCACCGTAATACCCTGCTCTGTCGGCGCCCAAACCATCTCAATTGTGCCGGCGAACCCATTTCACTCCTCTGACGGTCGTCTCCACCCCTTCCCCTCTTGAACCACCACCCGAAACACTAGAAAACCCAAAATCAAGTGGTGGTCGTGGTGGGTTAACTTAGAGAGTGAGAATAGTAGCTCAGTGGCGTCATTGCATCTTTTGCCACCTGGGAAATGGGTGGAGACGGCCTGAGGGGTGGCGACAAAACGGGAAATGGGTTTGGCAGGAGCGACTGCTGGTGGGGAGATGAGTTTTTTCGAGAGGAGGGAGGGGGGTTTTAGGGTGGGGGAAGGTGGTTCAGGGGAGGGGCTGGTCAGGAAGGTCCGGGGTACAGCTGGCATCAGGTAAGGGACTCTGACCGCCAGCGGTGGTGGTGGGGTTGCTTTAGGCAAGGGGTGGGTTTTGTTTTCAGTTTATTTTAGTTTTAATTTTTTTTAAAAAAAAAATTAAGTTTTGATTTTTAAAATCATTATTAGTAAAAAAAAAATGTTCAAATAAAATAACTTTTTCTAACCAATCACACATGGACACATGTCAAATATAACCTGTGAAACAGGTAACAGGTTTTTTGTTCTATTTTTAGCGGATGTGCATCAAAGGTCGTTTTATTTTGAAATAATCCAAAGGTCGTTTTATTCTTGGAAGACCGGTGAAAGGTGGTGTTATTTTTGACAAATTTTCCAATACATAATTGGTGAGTTGTTTGGTTAATCAAAAAAGTGCAAAATGGAGGAAATAGAAATTCCTAAGAATTTCAATTTCCTACATAATGTGAAAATTCACTTATCCACCTCCCCCTAGGTCATTCAAATTTCCTAGGAATTGTAAGTTCCCTAATGCCAACCAAACAAACTAAGCAACTTCCTAGGAATTTGAGGAAGGAAATAATTTCTCGTGAATTATAAATTACCATGGGAAGTCAATTCTCATTGCAACCAAACGAACTTCACAATTATTTATTAACATCCGATTTACGTTAAACTATTGTAAATCGCCTCTCGCTCTAAGCAGAAATGTTTCCATTTTGATTTACACGTGCAGGCTTCATTGCCTACAAATAAAAACCAACCTTTTCTCTCTCCTCCTCATTCTTTCACAAAGTTCTTTCTCTCTCTTCTTTCTCTATCTTCTTCCATAATTGACAATCATATCTCTATTCAACCTGGTTTCTCGTTCTTTAACTACGATTATTTCTCTTCTCTTTCACTTGTGAGGTTGTTATTTGCAAAATTAAGGTTTGTTTACTTAATTTTATGAGATTTTTGTTAGTTTTAGTTGTTTTGATTCTTCGATTTTTAGGTTTTTTTTATTTTGTTTTTGTTTTTGTAGTGTTTGATTCTACAATGGTAAAGAAGAAGAGTACAAAGAAGTCGTCAGAATATTTGAAGTCGGAAGAAGGTAAAGTGAGCTCTAACTTGTCATCGTCGTCGAGTTGCTCGGTGAGATGGTCAGAAATGGTGGAATCGACGATGGTTTCAGCGACGACTTTTTATTTAATTGAGTGATAGTACAGTTTTTTCATGACTATTGTTAATTTTGCATTTATTTTTGTTGATTTTGATACTCTGTTTTGCATATATAGCTTAATTACTTTTGTGAAAAAAAAGGTCACTTTTGTGGAAAAAAAAAGGGTCACTTTTGTGAAAATATGGGTCACGTTTGTAAAAGAAAAATGGTCACTTTTGTGGAAAAAAAAGGGTCACTTTTGTGAAAATATGAGTCACGTTTGTAAAAGAAAAAGGGTCACTTTTGTATGAAAAAATGGTCACTTTTCAAAAAATGTTCGATATACAATAAAAATATTGTAAACCGGGGGCATGCAAAAGTTTTTGAACGAACTTAATGATTTGTTGTGTTCAACCAGAGTCACGTTAAAATTTTTTATTCTATTAAACATGGAGTAATATACTACGTAAAAATGATTTCACTGCTAACGATTTTATTATTACAAATAGAAAATTCATACTGTCTCTAAGAGCTCGTTTTTTTAAAGCCTCATTTTATAAGGAGGGAAATTGACGAAAATCTCTCACACTTGAAAGTTGGAGGACTAACTGACTATTCTATCTAGTCTTTAATTTATCAGAGGGTTCACAATACTCCGTATTATTCTAGCTAGTCTTCTAGAGTAGTGGCTTTTGTTTTGGATTTTTCATTATGAGTACGGAATACCTCAAGAATTTTATATTAATTTCACTTTGAGACGATTTTGCGTAGCACGGGCTCTCGTGTGACTAGGCTAAGCAGCAAAAAGGCACGGGTTTGAGAAACCCAACCAAAGCCCGCACACCAATATTTTATAAAATCAATAATATTGTCTTATTCCTGATAAAAATTAACTTATTCCTGACTAATATTTTCTAATTCCTAACAAATATTAAACCAATTAATATTAATCTAATACCTGAAAATATTAATCTAATACATGACAATAAACATTTAATGCCAAACAATAACAATCAAACACCAAATAATAAACATCTAATACCTAACATTATTTTCTCCTTCATCACTGACCCTCTTCTTCTTCTTCTTCTTCTTCTTCTTCTTCTTCTTCTTCTTCTTCTTCTTCTTCTTCTTCTTCTTCTTCTTCTTCTTCTTCTTCCATAAATACAATATTTTCTCTCTCTTCAACCCTGATTTCACATAATCTTTAAACAACTCCTACATTTCATCATCAATTAACAATTCCACAATCAAATTTCCCTAAATCAAATTAATCAAATTCATCCAAAACCACCACGACAAAGCCGTCTCGCCAAAATCCTCCTTATCTTGACCATTATCAATAGAATTCGACCTCCCCAAACTCAACAGAGTAGCGGCGCGGATCTGGTCATTCTCTAGATCATCTCAAAACTCTGAATTCGAAGTACTATCGCCAAAGCAAGTTGCATTTGATCATTCTTCATCGCCAGCAAGTTGGGAGGTGCAGGAGAGGAGGTAGGGAGTGGTGGAGGACCCAGGAGGAGAAAGACAGGGAAAGAAGGAGAATGAAGATGGTGGACTTACGTGAGTCCGTTTCACTCAAAACTTTACCTTTCGGTTTGGATATCTCAACCCAAACAAAGCTAACACTTAAATGACAAATTATTAACATTGACAATATATTAGTAATGTTACTTCAATTTTTACTTTGTATTTGATATCTTTTTCATTAAATATACTAGCCAAAAGTTCTTACTTCCCAGATTTAAGTATCCAATACCCATGTTACTAAAGTTTGGGATCAAGCTTGTGTTAAAAAATTAAACCGTTATACAACTCAAATTCTTTAATTGTGATTTTTTATTGGGGGTTATAAATGAGCTAATTTGACATGAGCGAAAGTGTTAAAATACAACGAATAGTTATTTTAAAATCTTATAAAGGTCTACTAATTTTATGTTTTCCCAAGTATCAAAGATGACAATAAAGCCCCGTTCATTTTACCTTATTTGTCCTGAACTAAAATTATTTTTGTTGAAACAAAATTATATTTGCTGAACTTAAATTATTTTTACTGAATTTAAGTTAATTCAGTGAATTGAAATTATTTTTGCTGAAACGATATTATTTTTACCAATTTTCTATCTTAAGGCCCTGTTACTTCACCTTAAAAAAATAATATTAAGTAAAAATAATTTCAATTCAGCAAAAATAAGTTTAGTTTAGTATAATTAATTTTAGTTCAGTAAAAATAATTTCAATCTAGTAAAAATAACTTCAATTCAGTAAAATTCATTTTTTTTAAAGAAGAATTCTAATAGAAAATTAGTAAAAGGTATTTTATTTCAGTTCAGTAGAATTAATTTAAGTTCAGTAAAAATAATTTCAGTTCAACATAAATAATTTTTGTTTCAGTAAAAATAATTTCAGTTCAGCAAAATAAGGTGAAGTGACCGGGACCTAATTCTTCTTTAAGATAACCAAATTTTGCTGAACTGAACTTATTATTTTTACTAAACTGAAACTATTTTTACTTAATGTTATTTTTGTAAGGTAAAGTGACAGGGCATAAGTCTTACTCAACTAAATTAAAGAATAACTTTGTTAAGAAAATTACTTAGCAACCAGAGGTTATAGAATACATCATGTAAAAAAAATTTATATCAAGAATTTCATCTCAATTCAATTCTAAACTGTTAAAATGTAAAAAGATATATTTAATATTAAAAAATTACCCTTCGTTTAAATTCATCATGATGTACCAATAATTTTAATTTTTCACCTAAAGTTATTCATCAAGCTCAAATTTACTTTCATCGCAAAGTAAATACTAGTCTATACCCAAATATTATATCTCTGTTCATACAACGGTTACGCTACATGGCTATACAACCCTTCCATAAAAACCAGAATAGGAAAGACATGAAGATTCAATCAAATAAAACATGCTTTGAATATGATTAACTAATTTGTGAGTAGTTGATTGCATCACGTATGAGATACAATGATTATATATCGTTTTTTGAGAATTCGACTAAATATAAATGAATTATATTATTACTCCACATTTAATTATTTTTATTCTTAATAATCAAAATTATGTGACGAATTCAATAAAATAGTTGATTACACCCCATAAAATCTACAATTCTACAATCTACAAGATAAGATAATTTCAAGAAACTTTCATATTGTAATTGTAATTTATATTTTTCATCCTATCCTCCCAAAAATCTAACTAAAAAAAAAAAAAAAAGACAAAACCCTAACTTGCACCAACGGGAAAAAAAAATTGAGAATAACAATTAAAAATCTCTTCTCCTCTCCTCTCCACTCAACACCTCTCCACCACCATCGCCATTACCATGTCCGTCGACGGCGCATATGATCGGAGAAAAGACCAATCACCGGCGATCACCGCCGTCAACGGCAACATCAACGGCAATGGAGTCACGCTTTCTTCGACGCCAACTTTCTGTCTGTCGTTGAACCCTAACAAAGAGCACAAACCCGACAATTACGATGACCTAGCATTGGAGTACGATCCAATGCTTTTTACTTGTCTTGAACGTTACTTGCCTCCTTCGTTGTTGAGCTCTTCTCGTGATTCTAAGCTTCATTTTATGCGGGATATTTTGCTCAAGTATTCGCCTGAAGGAGAAAGAATTAGGGTGAGATTTGTGATGATTGTTGATTTGATTTTGGGTTTTTGTTTTTGATTTTGGGAATTTTGTTGATTTGATGTGTTTTTTTTTCGATTTTGTTTGGTATTATGTTTTTAATAAGGCTCAGAAGCATCGGGAATACAGGCAGAAGATTATTTCGAATTATCAGGTAAATTGATGTTAAATTCTTGATGATTGAGGAATTATTAAATGATGTGAAATTGTTGATTGTAATATTGCTGTTGAAGCTTGTGTATTTAATTAATGGAGTTTGGAAGTGATGAGATGTGGCTTTTGAATTTTGGTTGATGGAATGTGGATTTGGCTTCAAATTGGACGACGTTATATCTAGGGTTTGGTTATGGTTAAGCATAGAAAATTGGGAGTAAAGGTTTTGGAAATGTGAAGACGAGCGATTTGTTGATGGATTAGGCTGTTGTTCTTGCTATTTGTGATTTGAACAAAGCACGATTATATGTTTTTACTCCATTTATTTAGAAATAGTAGATGTACATACCATATTAGGATGTCCGGAAAAAGTAGTCACCTTTAAAGTAGTGAAGATTTTCTATGTTATTCTTCTAGATGCTGCCATATAGAATAAGTGATGGCAACTGGCAAGAGTATCTAATGATACATCAATTTTATTGGGCAAGCGGAATTTTTGTGTTCTTAATTGTGAGGGGATTGACAACATTCTATTGGTAGTGGGAGTATTATGTGCAATAGCTTGCAAAACCTTTTGAGATTTTTTTGGGGAGGAGGAGAAAAGGTATCATTGCTATCCATACAAAGGTTGCTAGGTTCTTTTGAATTTTAAATACAGGGTATGTAGGATTTCAGATTATGGTTCCTCTGTAACTTCTATGAAGTCATCCTTGTCATCTTTTCCTTTGGTGGTTTTGTAAATTTTTTGGCAAGGGGAGAAGGGTGAACCATCTTTTTTTTGTAATAAGAATAGGATTGTCAATACAATTTTGACTTTTCATTGATAAATGGCAGTGTTAGCATTCTTACTCGTCTAGATTGCTCTGTCTACATTATTTTATATAGTAGAAGGGTCAAAACGTGTGAATAATATCTTCTTAGGATACCTCTTTTGGTTTTGGTGGTGTTGATGATTGAGTATAGTACTTAAAGGATCCTAGAAAAATACAATTATGAAATCTGATTTTTTGAAGTTAGGTTACTTGACCTGTGAGCAACTGAGCATGAGAAGGTCTATGGTTATTTAACGTATGTCATTTCAATAGCTGGTCATTTGCAGTACTTTGTACTGTAGATTACAGAGGTAGGTTGAAGTGTATTTATACTGATTAACAATATAATACAGAGGATTTCTGTGAAGAAAATGGGTTATGATGATGCGTTAATGCATTATTTAATTAGATTTTCCTATAACTATTCTCCTGTTCTTTTTTGTGTTCCTATTTTCACTACCGTTGTGATTCATTTTGTTGTATTTAAGATTTTTGCCTGCATCCTGTTTTGAACTTTTGACATCCTGTGATCTATTATTAAGCTCTGTTTGGCTCATTTACTTTTGTTTGAATTATTTCATCTGGGTTTTCTATTTTTTTTTTGTCTTTGTAACCTTATTTTATTTGAACTTATCCTATTAAATAAAATTAAATATGTTAAAAATAAGATCTAACAATCAGACCTGATTTTTCTCTTGGGAATACCTGATTCTTACCTATACTTGAGTTCCTGTAACTTTCTTTAAAAAAAAAAAGAGTTCTGGTAACTTAAGTTTGCTTTCTGTCTGCAGCCACTTCACAAAGAGCTGTATAGCATGCATGCCACAAACTTCTTTGTCCCCTCGTTTCTTAAAGCAATTCATGATAATACAGAAGAAAGTTTTCGAAGTATAATGTCTGAGCCTGCACCTGGGATTTTTACCTTTGATATACTACAGCCTCAGTTCTGTGATTTGTTACTGAAGGAGGTATATCGGGAGGATTAATGTTTCTTTGTCATGTTAGTTTCAATTCATTTGGTTTTTCTTGTCTTACTTTATAGAAATCTCTTGCCTAGGTAGAAAATATTGAAAAGTGGGTTTGTGACACAAAATGCAAAATCATGCGGCCAAATACAATGAATAATTATGGTGCTGTTCTTGATGACTTTGGCATGGAAACTATGCTTCATAAACTAATGGAGGATTTTGTACGTCCCATCTCTAAAGGTAATGCATATTTTTCTAAGTGTTTCAAGAGTATTCAGATTCCTAGGATAGAAGCATGTTTATGAAGATACTAATGTGTGGCTAAATCTGTATGCAGTTTTCTTCCCCGAAGTTGGTAATACATAATTTTCTAAGTGTTTCAAGAATGTTCAAATGCCTAAGAATCTAAGACAGAAGCATGTTTTTGAAGATACTAATGTGTGACTAAATCTGCATGCAGTTTTCTACCCTGAAGTTGGTGGATCCAGTTTAATTTCTCATCATGGATTTGTTGTCCAATATGGAATTCATAAGGATATTGACTTAGGTAAGTTTTCAGTTTCTCACTTGAAACTTGAAAGTTTTAACATGTACTTTTGCTCTAGGATTCATATGGCGCTTGAATAATATTTTTGTTTACTTCCTTTGCTTGTGGGCTTGATGTTTTTCTTCATAGCCTTCTTATCAGAATGGAGTCCTGTTCAAGTCCTTTTAATATAATTCTTTTTATGAAGACTCTTCTCTAAATTAGGTTTTGGAGCTTATTTTTGCTAATGAATACTAGTAAAATAAAAATTTAGTTGGTTGCAAGTGGGAAATTTTGCTGTTGAATCAATTTTGGTGGCTTCACTTTATCTTGTTTTAAGGCGCATCATACTAATTTTTTTCTGCTTTGATTCACAGGTTTTCATGTGGATGATGCTGAAGTCACTTTGAATGTATGCTTAGGCCAGGAGTTTTCTGGTGGAGAATTGTTCTTTCGAGGTGTTAGATGTGAGAAACATGTTAATACGGAAACACAGGCTGAGGTACTTGCCATTTGAGCTTTTCCTTTAAAGAAAAAAGATCAATTTTGTTCTTTTATATGAGTTTAATACTATGTAAGCTTTTTCTTTGTAACTGTAAAACATGCATTAGAGGTTGTGGTGACTGTTCTTGATGACAACAAATGCACTTAGGCTGCGGCAGCATAAATACAACATATTTTAAGAGGTCAACAAGATAATTTATGTTTTATAGAGGGTCTGTAGTGGAAAAATGTGCGTTTATAGAATATTACCTTCACGTATATATTTTTTTTATAAGAGTTTATTTACAAAGTAGTGTTGCTCATTGGATGTATTAGACGCTTTGGAAGATGATCTTATAGTTGGCAAAGGCATGAGCAATGTTGACTTTTGATATATTAGACCATAGAATTAGTAATTTTTAGTATGTTTAATTCTTGTAAAGAATTCTATTATTAGACATAATATTTTTCCAAGCTTTGTCTGGAGGTCAATCCTAGTTGGGCACTGAACTGGAGATGAGAGTTTAAGCAGCAATAGCAATATGTGCTGGAATTTGGCATGAAAATGCAAAGCCAAACATGAGACCCTAAAGGGAGTTAGTGACAGATTAACTGAATTTATAATTATTGCCTTCTTATAACCCGTCAGTCTTTTAGTCATAATCCATCTTAATTTTTGAAGCTGTAACTGAAGCTCTGATCTGAGAAATCCTCTCTTGTAACCCATCTAGCAACCCCCCCGCCCCCCCCCCCCCCCCCCCCCCCCCCCCCCATTTTCATTTTTATTATGTTGGTTTCAAACCAGTCTTGACTGTTATGTCATCAAAATCTCAGAATTGGAGATTCCTGAATTTTATATTGTCATTACTCAGGCAGCTAATCATAATCACACTTTATTCACTTGGCATAGTTGGCAAGTTCCTTTTGAAACTGTTGCATTTCTTATTTTTCTTTCCCTACACAGCTGCTGCACTTCACTTGCATGTTTTACTGCAGTTATTTCTTGGGCTTCAAAAATTTAACTGTCAATAAGTTTCCTTTCAAATAATTTTTAATATCCACTTTGTAGCAACAGATTCTGTCCTTTGCTCCCTCTATTTTTGTCTTTGCTCCCTCTATTTTTGTGTTTCCAGTTACTTAATAGAGCTGCATAACTTGCGTTATTTATTCACATGGACTCCAAAGAAAGATATTTACACCAATCTATAGGACAGAGGAGCATGTGGATTAAAATATGGGAATCAAATAAGTGTTTTTGGGACCATTGATGAAGTAGTTATTTCAATACTTCGGCTCTTGCATTTATGGTCTTCTAACTACTTTTATGCAATTGTACTTTTTTGAAAGTATTGCTCTCCTGTAGCAATTAGTATGGTAGATTTTCCTTCTGATTTCCATGTGGTGCCATGGGTGGCACTTTCTTGCTCAAATTATTTCTGTTTGGTTCAGGAATCATTAGATTACTCCCATGTTCCTGGACGTGCTATTCTTCATCGTGGTCGCCATCGCCATGGAGCTCGTGCCACTACTCAAGGGAGGAGGGTCAACTTGATTTTATGGTGCAGAAGGTATATCAGTTGCTTAGACATTGTGTGTAAATTGCTGTTTTTAAATTGTAAATTTCACATTTTCAAAAGGAAACTATTTTAAGCTTTTGGAAAGAAGGATGGTGTTAATAATAGTTACCTTCCTAAAATGAGAACATTGTTGCTAATCCTATGATAAAAAATAATAATGTTTTCCAAAATAGTCATCCAAGTCGGATTTTGAGGTGCGTCTTTTCTGGATTCCATCGTAAATTTGCTGACATTTGAGGCTAACCACTCATTTCGCTTTTTTTTTTTTTTTTTTTTTTTTTTTTTTTTTTTTTTTTAATGTAGCATGTATTATCCATAGCGTATCACAATTTATTGGGTTTGTTTGGCTATCTTATATCCTGTCACCTGTGGGTGTCTGAAGAGCGTAGCTGATGATTATATAATTAAGCAGCACTATCCATTTTGACCAAGGTGGACTACAATGTGGTGCATGGTCAGAGCTAGAAATGCACAATGTCTACTATTATTTACCCTCTGATTTGTTGATGCAGTGCCGTCTTCCGGGAGCTGAAGAAATATCAGACAGATTTCTCTAGCTGGTGTGGGGTGTGTCAACGGGAGAAGAAAGTTAGGCAGCAGTTGTCAATTTCTGCAGTGAAAGAGGTAAATTAACTGCCATGCATCTACATCTTTTGAAGTTCCTTTTGCCTTTCTTCTTTTAAGCTGTTGTGGTTTCTAGAAATCTAGACTCCCCGCTCCCTCTGTTATTGCACATCTTTTGGAATTTTTACTTTCGACCACTAATAACTCAAAAATAGAAGTACGTATATAAAATTATGAATAGTATTAGGGTTCATCTAAAAGTTTTTTCATAATGATATTTTGCATTTTTTACATCAATATCTAACATAAAACTGTAAAATTAAATTTATTATTAGATTTTTATTCACTTATAAAAATTGTTGAACACTATTACACTTACAAATTTTTAGTGAACTGGGGCATCGCCCGGGACAATAACTAGTTAATACGAAGTAGCTAAAGCTTAATGCATAAAAAAGTATGTTATACTCCGTATCGAATAGAGGGATTATATGAGAGCTGAATGCTAAATTATCATGTATCGCTTCGTATTCTTACAGGAATTGTTGAAGAAGGAAGGGGAATCAACATCCTAAGCCACTTGTATCTATGGCCACCTTGTTAAAACTGGGGTCATCCTAGTAGAGAAAAATATTAATATTTTGCCAATATTTAGCAGTAAGGAGTAAAGGTCTTGCCGTATGATTTTGTTGTAAATTTGGGTCTTCATATTCTTGTATTGTCTCGTGTATGTAGTAGCCATACTCTTCATATAGGCTAACTCATACTCAGCTTTCATAATGTGAGAGGAGCATTGTATCCTTTTTGCATCAGATGTTTCCTCATATTTTTCAAGTAGTTTCGAAAATAGTCATTGGTTTGTGAAATTTGTATGAGAGGAGCAGTTTCTTTTTTATTTTCCTGCATTTGATATTTCAGATGCATCAATATTTGGTCAGATTTTAGAAAAGATTTCCTTTATTCTTGGATAAAGTTTACATTCGGGTGTATCACAAAATAGGGTTCGGCGTAAATTACTGAAGCTGGGTGCTTGTTGGGAGCTAACCTGACAGCTTCTGGAAGGATAAGTTTAAGTAGTCTAGGTGATTTGAGTTTACAAGCTGTAGAGGTATAATTTCATTGAAGGTGTTGCAAGGATAAGGCTTAACTGAGTGGTGTTAACCAGGAATGGCCATGGTTCCATCTAAGACCGCAACGTGGACATGCTTTTCAAACGATAACAAGTAAGGGTTTCATCAGATCTATTACGGAGGGATAGTAATTCCATAATTAGACTGAAAGCAGCAACAATAACTAGAAATAGTATTATGCCTTAATACTTCTACTGTACAACTTTACCATTTTACAAACTATTTTTCGTAATTACTATAATCATTATTTCACCATACTTGTGCAAAACTATAATATTTATATAAACCTATGTTAACTTTTGTGACAAAGCCTTGCACAGTTAGTTACATTTGATTATTAACAATATAATCAAAGATTTTGTAAGGGGTTGTTAAACGTTGCTCCCATTTTACTAGGCATCACTCGTTTTTATTTATTTTTTTTATGTTAATTTTCATATTTACCCATAGCAAATAAATACCCCCTCACTCACGGCACTCATAACACTCATACTTACTCTCATTTTATCTCTTTAAAAAAAAAAAAAAAATAAAACTAATTAAAATCTGAAATAATAAAAAAAAAAAGTAACCACAAACAACCCACCACCGACAGCCACTAATCCAAGGAGGCGAGGGGTATTCCAGCGATGGCGGATCAGCAGTGAATTCGGGTGACGTACGGCAGTCGAGGCCTTGGCACCGGAGGCGAACATGTATAGGTTTAATTCGAAAAAAAGAAAACCAAACATTGGGATGTCCGCCTGAAATTTTCGAAAGAACCAAGGAGGATTGTTGTTTTTTTATTTAAATAGTGGTCATTGAAAAAGGCAATGATTATTATTATTATTTTATTTTTACATATAACTATTCAATCTAGCTGCAATTAAAAATTAATGATGATTTTTAGTAGTAAGGAACTACATTTAACTAGATTCAAATATGTTAGATGAGCAAGTTTAATAAGGTGCTAGATATGAACATATAGAAGTATACTTTCCAATCGTTCAATTCTTCTGTTTCATCTCTTTCTATGGGTCTAGTGTCTCTGCCTTTGTTGGTTCCTCCTCCTCCTCCTTTCCCTTGTACTATCATCTTCCCTTCGCAGAATTTTCATAACCAGTCTATGAAGATGCTTGCAATACCATTCCCTATACCTTTTAATGTAAAGGATAGGCCCTACAAAGATGGTGATCCCAACCGAAAACCCAACTTCAGCACCCCTTAACATCCACTCTTGTTCGTTCTTTGAACTCCAATTTGATCGCTCTGAAGAAGTAGGTGGAGTCATTATTGGATTTCTTGTTGTCAATGGGGGACCATAGAGTCCTTGGTTGCCTTCATATGACGATGCGTTGAATGATTGAAGTTGAGTGCCTGTTGGGATCTTCCCTAACAACCTGTTGAAGGAAAGGTTCAAGTAGCCGAGGAAATTCAAGCTTGCAAGCTGTGAAGGTATCTTCCCACTCAAGTTATTACAAGAGAGATCTAATGACTCAATCTGGCTCAAATTTCCAAATGATGATGGAATATGCCCCAAGAAGGAGTTGTAAGAGAGGTTGAGAACTACAAGTGCATTCAAATTTCCCAACTCTTCCGGTAGCTCCCCATGAAAAGCATTGTTGGAGAAATCAATGCTAGTGAAGATTGTTAGGATGTATTACCTTTAAAGTTAACTGACACTGAATTTTGGTAGTAATCACCAGTTGAACCAGAGCATTGCAAAAACCTAGATTTTGATTTCTCTTTAGTTAATCCAGCCATCATTAACCTCCACTTGAAAAGAATTTGGGATTTTAGCTCACCAACAAAGTGATTGGAAGCTACGTCCATTATTTGAAGCAATGGCCATATTGAGTGACTCTGTGGGCAAACAATAGTTCCATGGAGCTTGTTGGAATGAAGGACGAGAACTTGCAAGTTAAACAAGCTGTTTAAATGACAAGGAAAAGTGTCAGTCAATTGATTATTTCCAAGATCTAATACCCTCAAGTCTTTGCAGTAGGCAAGTGATCGAGGTATCCTTCCTTGCATAAAATTGTTGTTCAAGTCAAGAGTTTGTAAACTGCAACCTTTTGTGAATCTATCTGGGATTTCACCGTCTAATTGGTTTCCTCTCAAATTCAACACGATGAGTCGGGTCATGGTAGCAAAACAATCGGGAACTGTGCCACCCAAATGATTATGTTCTAGATTTTTGGCACTGCATAGTGACGTGGGGATGATCCCAAGTTCGAAAATGACATGTAGCTAGCATATGATAGATAGTTTCCTATGTCTGGATTGATGGAACTGAAATTATTGTTGGAACAATCCAAATAGTAATAATTGGATTTGACAACTGGGAATTTGCCCTGAAGATTATTGGAAGAGAGATCTTCTATAAACCCTAAATTATTTGAGAACGACAAAGGTGGTTCTAATTCCACTAAGTGATTGAAAGAAAGGTTGAACCTAGTAATTTTCCACATCCACTCGGGTATTGTGCCCGTGATTTGATTCATTGAAAGGTCAAGATTTTGTAAAGATGTTTGGTTATTTAAAAATTTAGGGATGGTACGCAAGTTGCAAGAAGCCAAAAATAGGATCTGTAGCTGTGGAAAAGTGGAGTTTTCCCCAGAATCGTTTGTACCAACAGACAAGCGATTGAAGGAAAGATCAAGTTCCTTGAGGCTCTTAAATCTTTGTAGAAAATCCGCTAGGTCTAGCGTGCCATTGAGCCTGTTGAAAGACATATACAAAAATTGGAGCTCTCTTAGTTGGAAAAATGACTTTGGGATTGGCCCTTCCAAGCTATTGTACCTCAAGTCAAGATAACTAATCTGGGAAGAGGCTATGCTTGCAAATTCATTCAGTTGCCCACTGAATTTGTTTTTATACAAATCGATGAACTGAAGTGATGGCAAACTGAATAATGAGGTAGAAATTTTTCCATCAAGTGAATTATAAGACAAGTTAAGCTCTTCTAAACTTAGTAACCTATCCCAATCTGTGGCATTGATTGAACCATTCAAATTGTTAAATCCAAGATTTATGGATTTTAGATACTTCAAGGATGAAAATGATGGAATGGGACCAGAAAATTGGTTATAGGAGAGATCAATTCTAAGAAGCCTTTTAAGGTTGCTCAAGGAGCTTGGTAAAATTCCGAAAAATTGGTTTCGAGAGAGATCAATTGCACGAAGCCTTTTAAGGTTGCTGATGGATCTTGGCAGGGTGCCAGAAAAGTTTGTAGAAGAAAGGCATAACTCCTCAAGAGACCCATTCTTGTAAAAGACTGGCAAATTCCCTTGCAACTTTTCATTACCTGATAAGTCAAGGGCTCTAAGTGTTGGTACTTGAAAATTTTTACTAGGGACTATCCCATATAGGCCACATACACTTAGCGATAACTTCGTCAAGTTTGTGAACCTGGCCATAAATCCTGGTACTCGTCCACCCATGTTGCCGTTATCATCGAGCATGATTACGGAGAGATGGCGGAGATTTGAAAGGGACTTATGGATTTCACCCCTCAAGTCACAATTGGACATGCTCATTACTTGAAGGCGAGGGAGCGAGGACGATAATGTCTTGCACCATTTATCCCCTATGGCTGAATTAATGACATAATCAAGATAGAGTTCCTTAATATTAGTCAAGTTTCGAATGATTGTTGCCAAATTTGGCTTGTGCATGTATAAAGGTGAATTTTCTACCCCTGAATTTGAAATATCAAGGACAGCTAATTTAACAAGGTTTGATATTTCAATAGGTACCTGTCCGCTGAAGCCTACCCATGACAAGTTAAGGTAAGTGAGGCTAGACAGTGTGCCAATTCTTGATGGAATTTCACCTTGTAAATCGTTGTTGCTCGCTAAATTCAAGGTTTGGAGGAACTGAAGATGATACAAACTACTTGAATCGTCAATGCCACCAATGATATCTTTGCTACTCAAATCAAGCCCAATAACTCGACCATTGGAGTTGTTGCATGTGACACCGCTCCAGTGGCAGCAATCGGTGCTTTGATTCCACCCCTTAAGCTTGTCATAAGCATTGGGAGCAAATGCAAGATTGTTCTTTAACTCGAGCAGTAAAGACTTTTGATCGCGGAGACATTGGCTAGAGACAAAAGGTATACAACTACATACAATCAAGATTAAGAGTAAAGGCCAAGAAGAAGAAATGAGTGGAATTGTTTTCATTTTGGAGATAAGAGTGAAGCAGTATGTGAGGTACTAGGGGTAATTATTGTTGTGAATGAATGAAACCGTTGTTGATATTCAAGTATTTATACAACTTAAGGTATGGTCAATCATGAATTATAGCGGCTAAGCTAGTACCTTACAAATGACTACTACCTTTCAATAAATAATGCAACGTAACCAAGACGATTGAATTTGGTTGCATGGAGTTACGCACATTGTAATTTCTGCTAACTAGTATTGACTAGCATATTGAGACAAAACTAGTATTTCTTCCATTCATAATCGGTAAGAAATTCCAATTAGATGTTGGTGTAGTGGTGAATTAGTGATTGAGACTACACTTGGTAGGGAGAACTCGTGTTCGACCCCCTACAACAACAATTGGGAAGGGATTGAAACCTAACCTCCCAGAACTGATCACAAAACTAGTATTTCTTCCATTTCATAATAAGTGCACATTTTAAGTCAAAATAAGTCAAATTGTAGAATTTCATGAGGTTGGCCATTATAAGTTTAAAGTGGAAAATGTGCACTTATTTTTTCTGGAAAAATGACTAACTTTTTGACTTGGAACTTTAATTTGGAAGTCATTAATTAGTTTTAAATTGATGTTTCATTAAAATTAATGGAATGGAATTTCGTAATTATAGTAATTATGAAGTGTTTACACGCGGTAATTGATCAGTGTTCTTATAGACATATATCCATTATAATGCTAGTGCAGTAGTGATACATACACTTATTTATAGTTATGATTTCATGTACAGTATTATGAAAAAAAAAAGAAATATGTTACAATTATTACAAACTATACCGCGTCTGCTATTTACTAGCATTACTACGAGTATAATTCATTATTTCATCATACACGCGTAAAAACTCTTGTTTATCACATTGCATTTCTGTATTTCACCACAACTGACTTTTAGTCACGTAGTTCATCAAGGAACTGTATTTAGCTAGATTCAAACATCTAGAGCAGGTTTTTTCTTTTTGTAGTTTAAGCAGCTGGTTTTGTATTTAATGTCCTTTTTTCACAAAAGACCTATTGAAAAAGATTTGATAAATTTTCCAAAGTTTAAGCTCAAGAAGAATTGAAGAAAACAGCTTACTTGTAACCTAGCTTGTCTAAAAAGTTATATATATTTATCGATATGGTAATTACACATCAAGATAATAACATACCGAATCGACTTTTAATAGAGTACTTAATATGGTTCACTAAATAAATTATTTAAGTTATTTTCAAAATTAAACGAACTTGGTTAAAGTCAAAATTTAAAATTGTGTTAAGCATAACATAAATTGTGTGTGAGAAGCGGTGTCTTTTGCATAAGATGCTTCTTCATCTATATTGTTCTAGTTACGAAAAATAGTCATTGGTTAATGGGAAATTCCCTGTTTCTCATATTAAAAAACGAAATAAATTTTCTCATACAAATTTTGTTTTTCACTATGAGAAATTGGGACATCCTCTTACTTGTACGAAAGCAGTGTCTTAATTTCACATCTGTTTGGATGCATGACAAATTTTAGAAAATAACCTCAGCTACATTAATTCTTGGTTAAATTTAACATTCGGGAGTTGCTAAATATAGACTTCGATGTAATTTGCAGCACCAACTCATTTGCAGTGATTCAAGCTAGCTCAGATTGAGTTATATTAATCGTAGCGATTAACGGGATAATTTTAAAAGGTTTACTTGGCTGCTAATTAAATTGCCGGGATGATAAGTCCGTAATAAAATTTGAAGCATTGGTTGCAAGGGGCTTGTTGGATCTAAGAACGTAACTTGAACATGCTTTTCGAACAATAAGTAAAGGCTACATCAGTTCAATTATAAAGGAGAAGTTATTTCATACTACCTCCATTTTTTATTTAATTGACATATTTCTTTTTTCACGCTTATCAACACACTATTTTAATGATTAATATCTCTAATTTTCGACATTGTAAAATTATAAAAAGTGGACATTAATAGAATATACATTGAGACAATTCAAATAAGACCTCACTTGACTATGTTTTGTCGTAGCTATAAATCACAAATGATAGTCAAAGTATAGTTTGCAAATAATGTAAAAGTCAAGCGGTGTCAACTAAAAAAATGAGGTAGTATAAAGCAGTAGAAACATAGTTTATAAGCGGCAACAATTGATTTAAAAAGAGTGTCAAACCTTAATACTTATACAACTCTTAAAATCTTACAAACTATACTAATTACTATAATTCATTATTTTACCGGCGTAAGATTTTTAATTCAGCACATTACATATCTGTCATCCACAGTGGGATCGGGCACAGCAACACCTATGTGAAAGATGAAACAACATGAATAAGAAATTCAACAACGTACAATTTATGAAATATTGAAGTAGTTACTAAAAAATTTATTTATAGTGGAAGGTTTTGTACATACTAGAAAGTTTATTTATGAAACAAATAGTCTTAGAAATTTTAAAGCAGTGCAGTGGCAATTAAAAATGGCACTTTTACAAGAGGCAAAACAAAGAAGAAAAAACAAGAATAATAAATATAGAAAGACATACAAACTCAAATATGTAAATGATAAATTAAATCATTCTTACCCTTCATTGACTTCTTTTTTTTCACCCTTTCTATGGGTCTAGCGTCTCTGCCTTTGTTGGTTCCTCCTTGTCCTCCTCCTTGCCCTTGTAATATTATCTTCCTTTCGTAGGATTTTCATGATCAGTATGTGAAGATGCTTGCAGTACCATTCCCTATACCTTTTGATGTAAAGGATAGGCCCAATAAAGATGGTGATCCCAACTGGAAACCCAACTTCAGCACCCCTTAACATCCACTCTCGTTCACTCTTTGAACTCCAATTTGATCCCTCTGAAGAAGTAGGCGGAGTCACTGTTATTGGATCATGTGTTGTCAATGGTGAACCGAACAGTCCTTGGTTGCCTGTATATGATGATGCATCGAATGTTTGAAGTTGAGCGCCTGTTGGGATCTGAAGAGATGTCCATTATTTGAAGTAATGGCCATATTGAGTGACTATCTGGACGAAGAATAGTTCCATAGAGCTTGTTGGAATGAAGGACGAGAACTTGTAAGTTAGACAAGCTGTTCAAATGAAAGGGAAAAGTGTCATTCAATTGATTATTTCCAAGATCTAATACCTTCATATCTTTGCAGTGGACAAGTGATCGAGGTATCCTTCTTTGCAAAAAATTCCCATTCAAGTCAAGAGTTTGTAAACTGCAACCTTTTGTGAATCTATCAGGGATTTCACTATGTAATTGGTTTCCTCTCAAATTCAACACGATGAGCTGGGTCATGGTTGTAAAACAATCAGGAATTGTGCCAACCAAATGATTGTGTTCTAGATTAAGAAGCTCTAAATTTGTGCCATTGCATAGTGACGCGGGGATGACCCCTTGTAAGTTATTTCTCGAAAACGACATGTAACTAGCATATGAAAGATAGTTTCCATTAGCTGGATCGATGGAAGTGAAATTATTGTTAGAACAATCCAAATAAGCGTAACCGGATTTGACAACTGGGAATTGACCATGAAGATTATTGGAAGAGAGGTCTATAGACCTTGGTAATAAATCATTTGAGAATGGAAAAGGTGGTTCTAGTTCCACTAAGTGGTTGAAAGAAAGGTTGAAACTAGAAATTTGCCACAACCACCCGGGTATGGTGCCTGTGATTTGATTCATAGAAAGGTCAAGATTATCTAAAGATGTTTGATTTTGTAAGAATTTAGGAATGGTACGCAAGTTGCAAGAAGCCAGATATAGGATACTTAGCTGAGGAAAGGGGGAGTTTTCTCCGTAATCGTTTGTACCAATTGACAAGTGATTGAAAGAAAGATCAAGAAATATGAGGTTCTTGAAGCTTTGTAGAATATTTGCCAAGTCTAGCGTGCCATTGAGCCTATTGAAAGACAAATCCAAATGCCCTAGCTCTCTTAATTGGAAAAATGACTTTGGGATTATCCCTTCCAAGCTATTGTTTCTCAAGTCAAGAAATACAATATGGGAAGAAGCTATGCCTGAAAATTCATTCAGCTGCCCACTGAATTTGTTTCCACTCAAATCGATCGACTGAAGTGATGGTAAACTGAATAATGACATAGAAATACTTCCATCTAGTGAATTATCTGACAAGTCAAGATCTTTTAAACTGAGTAATTCTTCCCACTCTGTGCCATTGATTGAACCTTTGAAATTATTGCCATTAAGACTTATGGATTCTAGATTTTTCATGGATTCTAGAGTTCTTTGATATTAGTCAGATTTCGAATGATTGTTGCCAAGTTTGGCTTCTTCATATATACTGATCCATCAAATTCCCCAAATTCGTCCCGTAAACTTGAAATATCAAGGACAACTAAATTGACAAGTTGTGATATTCCAATAGGTACTTGTCCGCTGAAGCCTGCTACCGCGGACAAATTGAGGTAAGTGAGGCTAGACAATGTGCCAATTTTTGATGGAATTTCACCTTGCAACTCATTATTGTTAGCCAAATTCAAGCTCTTAAGGAACCGAAGATGAAACAAACTACTTGACTCGTTAATGCCACCAGTGATATATTTGCTACTCAAATCAAGCCCAATGACTCGACCATTAGAGTTGTCACATGTGACAACACTCCAGTGGCAGCAATCGGTGCTTTGATTCCACCCCTCAAGCTTGTCTAAAGCATCAGGGGCGGAAAGTAAGATTGTTTTTTAACTCAAGTAGTAAAGACTTTTGATCGTTGAGACATTGGCTAGAGACAAAAGGTGTACAATAGCAAGTGCATAGCCATACAATAAAGATGAAGAAAAAAGGCCAAGAAGAAGAAATAAGTGGAGTTGTTTTCATTTTGGAGATAAGAGTGAAGTAGTACCGAGGTACTGGGAGAAATGTTTAATTTGAAAATGAATGAAACCGTTGTTGATATTCACCATTTTATTAACTCATGTTATGCTTATTCATGAAGTATAGTGACCTACAAATGACAATGCAACTACGTTTCAATAAATGCGATGTAACCAAGACAGCTGAATTTGCTGGCTGATAGACTTATTCACGGTTGAATCAAGGTCACATTTATGTACTACGCCATATGAAAAGCCAAACCACGGTTGACCTGCAAGCCAATACTTGCACAAAGTCTTCTTTTGTATGTAGACTATAGCAGGATGTACCAATAATATCTTCTTTAATTTGAGGACTTTTCAACTGTACTGTGATATACTGTCTCACTCAGAAAGTCACAATGGATGAAATTTCTGTCATGAAAGCATGCAATTAGTGCAGCCCTTTTTATTGACTAAGTCTATTCAATATGTGGTCAAGCATTGAATTACGTTTTGAACGGGTCGGATTAGTTTTACTAATTGATCAATCAAAGTCTTCATCCCATAATTGAATTAATTTTAATTTTGCTCGCTAATGAACTTTTAATAGTGTGTTAAAAACAAACTAGTGTACTGTATTAGTTTTACAAGCGTAATGGGTATAGTACAAGGCTTGCACATCTTTTGTAATTTTTATTTGACCACTAATTACTCAAAAATAGAAGTACGTATATAAAATTAAGAATAGTTTTAGGCCAGGGTTCATCTAAAATATTTTTCATAATGATATTGCATATTTTTATCAATATCTAACATAAAACTGTAATTTTAAATTTGTTATTATATTTTTATTCACTTATAGATATTACTGAACACTAACCTTTTAAATTTAGTTTTTATTACACTTGCAAACTTTTAGTGAACCGGGACATCCCAAAGACAATAACTAGTTAATAGCAAAAGCTTAGTGTAAGAAAAATTATGTTATACTCCGTATGGAATAGAGGGATTCATTTATCGCACCGTATTCTTACATGAATTGTTGAAGAAGGAAGGAGAATCAACATCCTAAGCCGCTTGCATGAATCTATGGCCACCTTAATTGTATAAAATGGGGTGTTTCTAATATATAGGGAAATATATTTGTCAATTTTAGCAGTAAGGAGTAAAGGTGTTGCCGTATGATTTTGTTGTAAATTTGGGTCTTTGAATTCTTGTATGTAATGTTTTCTTCCATGTGTTATTTGCACATGTTTTCATAATGTGAGAGGAGCATTAGAAAAAAAATATTCAGCTTATAAATCTGTTTAAATGATTTATTTGCAACCAATATTCATACAAAAATCAGAACAACATCAAAACTTTTAGAGCAATATCCAGATTTTTATACACCAAAATTTTCATGGTTCCCCTTGGGTCAAACCAGGGTCCTTGAATTAATAGTCTGGGTTAAAAACGCCATAAAACGAACGAACATAAGAATGACTAGTGTATTCGTACTTCGTAAGTACTGTATAAAGGGAACTCGATCAACAAAATTTTAGATGCTGAAACGCCATAAAACAATTATGGGTTTAAAACGATTATGAGAGAGCAAGAATGACTAGTGTGTCATACTTCGGAAATACTGTATAAAGGGAACTCAACAAAATTTTAGAGGCTGAAAGTGAGCTTATCAGGTAATGGGGTCACCAATAGCATATGCGAGAAATTTGGAGCAAAAACGATATAAAGCTCGGAATGGCTTTTTGGAAGTCGAATTCAACGACAATTCATGATTTTTAAGGGTTTTGGGGACTCCTGACTGAAAAAAAAAAACATCTAAAAATTTTACATGGTGCCCCCGAGGTTGGAAGAGGGTTTTTAATTTGATAACGATGACCCTAAAATGCTTGAGAATTTTCAGGCGTTATGAGTCCTGGGAAAAAACCCTAAATCAGGCGAGATTTGTAGCCTTTGTTTCGAATTCTAAAGGGTTACAAATCACAATTATCAGACGTTATGGGGTCTTGGTAAAAATAGCCAAAAATTTTGCGTGATGAACCTTAGGTCAAAATTAAAGAAGGTCTATGAATAGTCATTAAGGGTTAAAAAGGTCATAGGATGATGTTGGGACACTAATAAGGCAATAAAGATATGCCAAATTTTGTTGAAAAAGTTTACATATCTAATTAAACTTTAACAGGATACCACCACTCGCTTCAAGAGGTAGCAAAAGTGACTCGCAGCCGATTACTCGATTTGATACTTACCCGAACTTTTTTAGGAAGACTTGAAAACTGGCCTGACTTGAACACTCCCAAAACTTAGTGCAAAGTTGTGGATTTTAAAGCATTTATACCATACTGGCAATGATCCAAATTTAACCTAACCAAACCAAACCAAAATTAAAAACGTTGACCACTTGAATTGACTCGATTCGAACTAACCGCCCCTACTCCCAACCCAAACAACGCAATTGACACCTTTAAAGTGTATAAGAAATAAACAAAATTGGAAAAACACAAACCTTAATTTTATTTTAATTTTGGTTGCTCAATTTAGACTATCCGAATATAAACACATACCCGAGTAATTCTCATATTCAAATCACTTTAATTCAATACAATTCACTTTAATTCAATACAAGAGGCATAATCAAAATATTTCTTCCTGAAACCTGCAATTCTGCAAGAAACCTCAACTCAACAATATAGCTACTCTTCAAGAAAAAACACCCAAAAAATTTCTTTCCATCTAAATTTCATCCAACTAATCTAATTCGATAAAGCAATTAAATGTTTATGTAATCCCAACTCGTCAGGGTTAGCCATACTACATTAATGACGATTTCTATCAAAAATCAAGAAATCCAATTGTTTGGTAGAATATGTTAATTCATCTCTATTGAAGGGATTTGTCTGTTATATACCCCTGTTTTAAAAAAGCTAATTATAATGAAGGAACCAGGGCTATCTTTGTAATTCTGCCAGAAGAATCAAAGTTTGTTAGGATAGCTACTCTTGACAGCTGCTAGGGAATATTTGCTGTTATTTTATCTTAGCTGTATTTTGTCTTGTTATGTTTTCATCATCATTGTATATATTTAATTCCCTGCACTCTGATTCAGCAATGAGAATGATCAGTTGCTTTTCCTATTTGCCTTGTATTCATCCCCTTGCATCATATTGTCAATTTTAGTTATCAAATTATGATAAATCATATGCCTTAAATTTGCTGGATGTTAGTTTAAATCAAGATTTCACATTTTTTGCATAATAATGTCATAATGGTGACAACATGCATTCTCTTTGTCTTATATGGTAAGAGATTTCAAATTTGTTCATCAATTTTTTTAAGAGAAAGTGATGAAATATACTGATTAATCCACAATCCCACACGGTTTACAACATCAAAAAAAGGAATAAAGTCAACCATAAACGCAAAACCAACAAAAGAAATTAGAGCAATATCAAATAAAATAGTGTTCCAAAGTGCACAGTATCAATATGAGGAGGTAATATGAAACGAAAACATATCTGAATATCATTGTGGAGTAATTAGCCAAATAGTTTCGTATTTTCACTTGGTAGAACTAATTTATTCCTATTGCAATTGTATTTGTGTAGTAAAATAGTTTATGTTAATTTAAAAATGAGTTTTAATCCAAAACATTCAGCCAAAAATTCAATAAGGCGATGAACTACCATTAGAGGTCAAATTAGAAGTAAGAATTCTGGAACAACCACAACAGATTTTCGTAAACAATTTAAAATTAGCATAAAGGAAGAATATATACTTAAAATATATGTTAGAAATTAGGGAAGCGTTGGTGAGCTTATGGTGATTTGGAGTAGTAGCTTAGTATGCATGGAACCATGGAGAAAGAGTGCAAAGTATACAAAAAGGTTGACTTTTTATTGATCTGGTAATGCTTCTTCTTACATCTCTAACAACATACATTGCCATCTATTTATAGCCTTGCGTAGAACTCTCTAGATCTAACTAGTGTAACACTAATCTATATTATTCTAAGATAATGTCTCCTACATATTTCTCAAGTACTTATTATCTAGATTTTTCTAGTTTCTTATGTTACATACTTTCATGATATTTCTCTACAAAATATTTTCATACAACATAATACTAGATATTTGTAGATTACTACGAGCATATTTTAACTGTATAAGCTACATTGTTAGGCTTGATGAGTTACATACTACATGTGTGGAATAATGGTCGGCCAAAGCTCCATGACAAAAGAGTCGGCTGTAATTGACCATGAAATATGGGGTGTTCGGGCATTTTAACATCACCTACAGCTGAGTCACTCTTCGTATTATATAGGACGTACTTCCTTCCTCGATAGAAATTGTTGCATTTCACAAAACAAATATCTGCATTGGTTTCGATAGCAGTCGTGGTCTGGAAGTGTTTTCCATCCGAATCGCAAACCCAGCCACCTCCGGAGTCTCGTCTTTAATATTTGCGATGCCACGGACTCTTTCTTCTTGTGCAATAGTCTGAAAAGCACGGACGCACGGTTCAAAGAGGGCAGGGGGTCTTGGGATAAAAGAGTGGAGCGAAGAGCGGCATAATAATCAGAGTATAACCCAAGTAAGAAATGTTGAAGGCGATCCCCTTTACAACGTTGTGTGTGTTGCTTTCCAACATCACATGTACATTTGCCGCACTTGTAACCGATCAATGGCTCGTGCTTATCTAATTCATCCCAAAGCACAGAAAGCTTGCTAAAGTATACAGCGACAGGCATTGATTTTGTTTGTTCACACCGATTAATTTTGGATTTTAATTGTTGAATTCTAGGTCCATTAACAAGACCAAAACGTTCATGTAAGTCATCCCAGATTCCCAGAGCTTCTTCGCATTGTCATAATTTGATAGCATGGACCGCACCTCCGGATCAATCGTGTTCATAAGCCAAGAGACGAGCATGCAATGGATTGTTACCCAATCATCCTTGGTACAAGGTGGGGCAAAGCTGACGATGGTACCATCCAAGAAGCCAAATTTGCGTCTGGAAGATAAGGCGATAAAAATTGCATGGGACCAATCATTGAAGTTGTTTAATTTTAGGCGTTGAATTGGGAGGTAATAAAAATCACCTAGGGGATCTTGGGGTCCTAGGTAATACGGGGAGTTAGGTTCAATTTTAGGTGGCGGTGGCGGCGGTGTGCCATCATCGCCGGGCATGGTTTATGGTGGTAAAAAAAAATTATGAGAGATAACTTGGCTCCAATACCATGTTAAGATTAATACTCAATTGTTTGCCCTTCTCATTCATCATGATTGATATTTATACAAGAGATATCTTGCCTAACCATAAGATCTTAAAGATATTCTATCATATCTTTCCTAACAGATCACCATATTTAACCAAGGATTGTCCGTTACCTAAAGCTTGATATCCCACTTACCATTCTTATAGTCCAAGTAGCCAGTCGAAGGTGCCCTTCACTTAGCTAGATACGAATACCATTGTATGCTAATTAATTAGACTTTCCGTGCATGGCATGGCCTTAAGCTAGTAGCCTAGTAATATTAGGAATTGAAGTTGGGTGGGCCTCGGTTTCGAAAATTAGTCATCGGTTAGTTAAATTTGTATGAAAGGATGGAGCAGTGTCGTCTTATTTTCACATCTGTTAGTCGGATGCATCAAAAATTGGTCAGATTTTAGAAAATAACCTTAGCTCCATTCTTGGATAAAGTTTACATTCGGGTGTTGCAAAATGTAAACTTCGACATAAATGATACTGAGGTCCGGTGCCCGTTGGGATCCCAACTAGCTCAAATTGAGTAAAATTTATTGTAGCAATCATAATTTTAGATAGCCGGCTACTTGGCTGTTAAATTGCCGGAAAGATAAATTTATACGGAGTAAGGCCCTGTTTGATTCACCTTAATTTTGCTGAACTGAAATTATTTTTACTGAACTGAACTTATTTTTACTGAACTGAACTTAATTTTATTGAACTGAAATTATTTTTACTAAACTGAACTTATTTTTACTGAACTGAACTTAATTTTATTGAACTAAAATTATTTTTACTGAATTTAAATTATTTTTACTGAACTGAAATTATTTTTACTGATTTTCTATTATAATTCTTCTTTAAGAAAACTGAATTTTACTGAACTAAACTTATTTTTACTGAACTGAACTTATTTTTACTGAATTGAAATTATTTTTACTTAATATTATTTTTTTAAGGTGAATCAAACCGGGCCTAATATAATGTGAAGCATTCGTTCCATGGGACTTGTTGGATCTAAGAACGCGACTTGGACATGCTTTTCGAACAATAAGTAACGGTTACATTAGTTTAGTTATAAAGGTGAATATATAGCAGTAGGAACACAATTTAAAAGCCGCAACAACTGATAATAAAAAGTGTCATACCTTGATACTTATACAATTCTTAAAGTCTTACAAACTATACTAATTACTACTTCGTATAATTCATTATTTCACCAATCACCATACATGCGTAAATTCTTTAGTTCGGCACATTACATGTTTGTCATCCACAGTAGCACACAGCAGCACCTATATGAAAAATGAAACCAAATGAATAAGAAATTCAATAACAATTTATGAAATATTGAAATAATAATTAAAAAAAATTATTGTAAATTAGAGATAAAATCTTACTAATGGAAGACTTTGTAAAGACTACAACGTCAAATAGTCTTAGGATTTTAAAAGGTGATATAGTGGCAATTAAAAATAATGGTACTTTTAAATGAGGCAAAGCAGAGGAGAGAAAACAAGAATAATAAAAATAGAAAGACATACGAACTCGAATATGTAAAAGTGATAATTAAATTAATACTTACCCTTCATTGTTTTCTTCTTTTTCACCCTTTCTATGCATCTAGCGTCTCTGCCTTTGTTGGTTCCTCCTTGTCCTCCTCCTTGCCCTTGTAATATTATCTTCCTTTCGTAGGATTTTCATGATCAGTATGTGAAGATGCTTGCAGTACCATTCCCTATACCTTTTGATGTAAAGGATAGGCCCAATAAAGATGGTGATCCCAACTGGAAACCCAACTTCAGCACCCCTTAACATCCACTCTCGTTCACTCTTTGAACTCCAATTTGATCCCTCTGAAGAAGTAGGCGGAGTCACTGTTATTGGATCATGTGTTGTCAATGGTGAACCGAACAGTCCTTGGTTGCCTTCGTACGAAGATGCATTGAAGGATTGTAGCTGAGTGCTTGTTGGGATCTTTCCTGACAACTTGTTGAAGGAAAGGTTCAAGTAGCTGAGGAAATTCAAGTTCGCAAACTCTGTAGGTATCCTCCCAGTCAAGGCATTTGAAGAGAGATCCAACGATTCAATCTGGCTTAAATTCCCGAATGATGATGGGATATGACCCAAGAAGGAATTGTGAGAGAGGTTGAGAACTACAAGACCATTCAGATTTCCCAACTCTTTTGGTAGCTCCCTGTTGATAAGTATTAGGTGACTCGTACTTCGTTGCTTTGTCCGCCCGATCGGGCGGACATTACCCGGTCTGACCGGGCGGAAGAAGAAGAGGTGCCTGGCAAATTCGTTGAAGAAGCTGCTCTCGCGCGCCCGACCGGGCGAGCTTTCGCCCGACCGGGCGAGCCTTCGCCCGATCGGGCGGACATTGCCCGATCGGGCCGGGCGGAAGGGGTTTTTTGGAGTACTTCGGTTGTTGGAAAAGACGTGTTCTCGCGCCCGATCGGGCGGGCCTTCGCCCGACCGGGCGATCTGGGTTTTTTTCAGCGATTACGAATTTAATATTTATCATATTGTGATATTGTAACCTAAGTATATCTTAATTAGGAATCACTACTATATAAACTTCCTATTATCATTATTAGGGTAACGGAGAGAGAAACACAAGAGAGAGAATACTTTGAGTGATTAAGTTCTTCATTGTAATCTTTGTAATCTTTGCCAGTTTATAGTGAAATCATTCGATCTCGGTGCCCGTGGACGTAGCTATCACATCGATAGTGAACCACGTAAATTCTTGGTGTTGTTCTTATTGTTTGCATTGAATTTCTTTATTGTTTTCTTGTTTGTTTACGACCTTTGCTTCCGCTGTCGCACAACAATTGGTATCAAGAGCTCAGGTTCAATCCTTGGAGAGTTTCTTGAAGATAACAATGGCAGGAGATTCAACAATAAGAATTGAGAAGTTTACCGGGAAAAATAGTTTCGGGCTATGGCAAATTAAGATGAAGGCTCTGTTAAAACAACAGCAGATATGGCGTCCGTTGGCTCCAAAGAGTACTACTTCGGAGTCAGGAGACGGACCGACTGACTCGCAGTTAGAAGTTATGGAAGAGAAGGCACACTCTACCATATTACTTAGTCTTGATGATCAAATCATCACGGAGGTGGCTGATCAGGAAACGGCGGCTGGATTGTGGCTGAAGCTGGAGTCATTGTATATGACTAAGTCGTTGACCAACAAATTATTACTGAAACAGCGGTTGTTTAGCCTCCGGATGCAGTCAGGTACTTCCTTACGGGAACATCTAGAAAAACTTAACTCTATTTTGCTTGATTTACGTAATTTAGATGTTAAAATTGATGATGAGGATGCTGCGTTGATTTTACTTGTATCTCTACCGTCTAGCTTTGAGAATTTTGTAGAGTCTTTTGTTGTTGGTAAGGATTCTATAACCTTAGAAGAAGTGAAGGCAGCACTTCATACTAGGGAACTCAGAATGAAAGCTACGAGTGATAATGGGGATAATGGTAGTGGGTTGTTTGTTAAGTCCGGAAAGTCTAAAAAGAATAAGGGGTTTAACAAGGGGAACAATGCTGGGTCGGGTGCTGGAAACGGCAAGGATGGATCTAGTAAAACTACTACTAAAACATGTTATTACTGTAAAGAACCGGGTCACTTTAGGAATAATTGTCCGGTGAGGAAAAACAAGTCCCAGGCTGCTGTAGTTGAAGAGAAACCGAATGAGAGCTATAATTCAGAGGAAGATTTAGCATTAGTCAGTTCTGCTAGGTCTGATGATTTATCTGATAACTGGGTTCTAGATTCGGGGTGTTCGTTCCATATGTGTCCACGTCGAGATTGGTTTGATACATATGAACCTCGCAATGGGGGTATGGTTATAGTCGGTAACAATGCTCCATGTAAGGTCACAGGTATTGGTTCCATGAGGTTGAGGACTGTTGATGGGCGGAGGTTAACTTTGACTAATGTACGGCATGTTCCTGCTTTAGGAAAGAATCTGATTTCATTGGGTACCCTGGATGACTTGGGGTACAATGGTGTGTTTTCAGATGGGGAGTTGTGTATTTTCAGAGGTTCTGAGTTGGTACTTAAGGGTATCAAAAGGAACACCCTCTATGTTTTTGAGGGTGTTACACTGCCTAGTTCTGCGGTTTGCGCATCTGTATCTCACCAGGAGATGACTAAGATTTGGCACATGAGGCTTGGTCATATGGGGGAGAAGGGGATGCAGCTATTGTCCAAGAGGGGTCTTCTATCCGGGGTCAAGGTTGCCAACCTTGAATTTTGTGAGCATTGTGTGTTTGGTAAGAAACACAGGTCAAAGTTCAGCAAGGGTGCTCACATTACTGATGCAGTGCTCGATTACATCCATTCAGATTGCTGGGGTCCATCTAGAGTTGAAGGTATGGGAGGTTACCACTATTTTGTGTCATTTGTTGATGACAAGTCCCGATACACATGGCTTAGGTTGCTTAAGTCAAAGGATGAGGCCTTCAAAGTTTTCAAGCAATGGAAAGCTTTGGTGGAAAATCGACAAGGAAGGAAGATCAAGAAGCTACGAACGGACAATGGGCTAGAGTTTTGCAAAGACGAGTTTAATCAGTTCTGTGCAGATGAGGGTATAGGTCGGCATCATACTGTCAGGAAGACACCACAGCAGAACGGTGTAGCAGAACGGGTTAATCAGACACTGCTAGAGAGAGTTCGATGCATGCTCTCTAATGCAGGGCTTGGGAGGAGGTACTGGAGTGAAGCTGTGTTAACAGCTTGTTATGTCATTAATAGGGGTCCTCATTCTGGAATTGATTCCAAGATTCCGTTTGAGATCTGGAGTGGTAAGTTGCCTAATTTTTCGAATTTGAAGATTTTTGGTTGTGTTGCTTATTATCATGTTATTGAGGGTAAGCTGGATCCACGAGCCAAGAAGGGGTGTTTTGTTGGGTACGGGGATGGTGTGAAGGGGTTTAGAATTTTTTCACCTTCGGAGGGTCGGGTCATTCTTAGTAGGGATGTTACTTTCGATGAAAACACCATGTATTCAATTAAAAATGCAGAGATTTCAGATTTGAGAAGGGAAGGAGACAATTTATTACAGACAGATGGGGTACTTGAGGTACATCAGTCTACCATTGCTGATTTACCTCGGGTACAATATATTGATGATGATGCTGATGTTCCAGTGCCGGGTACTCCTGAACCTGAGATTACTCCTACTCATTCTAACTCTGGGGATGAGGTGGAGCAATCTAATCAGGGGTCATCTAGTCAACCTGACACCATTCTTGAGATGCCTAAACGAGTTATCAAGAAGCCTGTTAGATTGATTGAAGAGATGGAGGGAAGAAATTGCTGTGTTGATGCGATGACAGGTTATGCATTGAGTGTAGCTGATGATGTAGAGTCATTTGAACCTGCCACATATAAACAAGCAATTAGTTGTAGTGAGTCTGCGCAATGGCTTGCCGCAATGGGTGAAGAGATGCAGTCTCTTTACAAGAACAGAGTGTGGGAACTGGTAAAAGTACCGGAAGGGAGGAAGCTTGTGGGTTGTAAATGGATTTACAAGAAGAAAGAAGGGTTGTCGGAAACTGAGCAAATACGTTTTAAGGCTAGGCTAGTTGCTAAGGGGTTCAGTCAGGTAGAAGGGGTTGATTTTGTTGAGATATTCTCACCTGTGGTTCGACATACTTCTATCCGTGTGTTATTGTCAATTGTAGCACATTTTGATCTTGAGCTGGAGCAGTTGGATGTTAAAACGGCTTTCCTTCATGGCGATTTGGAGGAGGAGATTCTGATGAAGCAGCCCGAAGGATTCGAAGTTCCTGGAAAGGAACACTATGCCTGCAGATTGCTAAAGTCATTGTATGGACTTAAGCAATCCCCCGACAGTGGTACAAAAGGTTTGATTCTTTTATGGTTTCACAAGGTTTTGACAGGAATTCATATGATTGCTGTGTGTATCATAGTAAGCTGGATAATGGTTCCATGATTTATCTTTTGTTATATGTTGATGACATGTTGGTTGCCACAAAGAATAAATCTGATATTGCTAGATTAAAGGAGATGCTTAACTCGGAGTTTGACATGAAAGACTTGGGTGCAGCTAGGAAGATTTTGGATATGGAGATCTACAGGGATCGGGCTAGAGGTAAGCTTTTCTTGACTCAGAAAAGCTACATTGAAAAGATTTTGTCTCGTTTTGGGATGGAAAAATCGAAGCCTATAAGTACGCCAACTACTGTTAGTTGTAAGTTGTCTTTGTCTATGTCACCTCAATCAGAGGAGGAGTTGTCTTATATGTCTAGAGTTCCATATGCAAATGCGGTTGGTTGTTTGATGTATGCTATGGTCTGTACTAGGCCGGATATTGCGCATGCCGTGAGTGTTGTAAGCAGGTTTATGGCTCGACCTGGGAGGGAACACTGGCAAGGGGTGAAAAGGATTTTTCGCTACCTGAGAGGGACAGCTGATATTGGTCTTGTGTACGGGAATGATAAGGAATGCTTGGTCACTGGGTACAGTGATTCTGATTATGCAGCTGATGTGGATACCAGGAGGTCTGTGACTGGTTATGTGTTCACTTTGGGTGGTTCTGTGGTTAGTTGGAAGTCTACATTGCAGTCATCAGTTACGTTGTCAACTACTGAAGCTGAGTATATGGCTTTAACTTCTGCAGCTAAGGAGTCTATTTGGCTCAAAGGCCTAGTAGGTGAACTGGGTATTGCACAGGATTTTGCTACAGTGTATTGTGATAGTCTAAGTGCGATTTGCTTAGCTAAAGATCAAGTACACCATGATCGGACGAAGCACATTGATGTCAGGTATCATTTCTTACGTACTGACAAGAGGATTAAGGTGAAGAAGATTGGGACTGCTGACAACCCGGCTGATTTCTTCACTAAGCCTGTTCCGTTTAGCAAGTTTAAACATTGCTTAGACTTGTTAAATATTGATTACTACGTGATGTAGTAGGCCCTGAGGGGCGAAGTTGGGGAGCTCCTGGTGTAGGTGTGTTGGCCTTAAGGTGGAGCTTGCCCGGGGCTTGTGATGCAGGTGGAGCATTATGAGTTGTTATACTTGGAGACGAGTATGTGATGGGTCTTGGTTGAAGACTTATCGGGATGTATGGCTTATGCATGAGTCTTGCATCGGGTTTGGCTTGAGATGTTTTTCACTATGTCTTGATGGGGTCGTTTGCTGACTACGAGTTCTCGTCAAGGTGGAGATTGTTGATAAGTATTAGGTGACTCGTACTTCGTTGCTTTGTCCGCCCGATCGGGCGGACATTACCCGGTCTGACCGGGCGGAAGAAGAAGAGGTGCCTGGCAAATTCGTTGAAGAAGCTGCTCTCGCGCGCCCGACCGGGCGAGCTTTCGCCCGACCGGGCGAGCCTTCGCCCGATCGGGCGGACATTGCCCGATCGGGCCGGGCGGAAGGGGTTTTTTGGAGTACTTCGGTTGTTGGAAAAGACGTGTTCTCGCGCCCGATCGGGCGGGCCTTCGCCCGACCGGGCGATCTGGGTTTTTTCAGCGATTACGAATTTAATATTTATCATATTGTGATATTGTAACCTAAGTATATCTTAATTAGGAATCACTACTATATAAACTTCCTATTATCATTATTAGGGTAACGGAGAGAGAAACACAAGAGAGAGAATACTTTGAGTGATTAAGTTCTTCATTGTAATCTTTGTAATCTTTGCCAGTTTATAGTGAAATCATTCGATCTCGGTGCCCGTGGACGTAGCTATCACATCGATAGTGAACCACGTAAATTCTTGGTGTTGTTCTTATTGTTTGCATTGAATTTCTTTATTGTTTTCTTGTTTGTTTACGACCTTTGCTTCCGCTGTCGCACAACACTCCCCATGAAAGGCATTGTTAGAGAAATCAATGCTAGTGAAGATTGATAGGATGTATTGCAACTCATAGGTATTGCCTTTAAAGGTGACCGACACTGAGTTTTGATAGTAGCGACCATATGATGGACTAATAGAGCTCTGCAAAAAGCTGGTTTTTGATTGCTCTTTATTTGTTCCGATCATCATCAATGTCCACTTGAAAAAAATTTGGGATTTCAGATCACCAATAAAGTGATTGGAAGCTACATCCATAATTTGAAGTAATGGCCAGATTGAGCGACTTTCAGGACAAACAATGGCTCCATGAAGCTTGTTGGATCGAAGGACAAGAACTTGCAAGCTGGACAAGCTTTTCAAGTGACAAGGAAAAGTGTCGTTCAATCGATTATTTCCAAGATCTAATACCTTTAATGCTTTGCAGTAGCCAAGTGATCGTGGAATCGATCCTTGTAGATGATTCTCATTCAAGTTAAGAGTTTGTAGGGTGCAGTTTTTTCCAAATTCAGCTGGGACAGAACCTCCTAAATTGTTTCCTCTCAAATTGAGTACGCTGAGTGTAGTCTTGGCAAAGAGGCAATCGGGAATTGTCCAACTCAAGTGATTGTACTCTAGGTTCATAAAATGTAGGTTTGTGGCATTGCATAGCGTTTTAGAAATGGAAGTGAAATTATTGTTGGAACAATCCAGATATTCTAGCTTAGGTGAGGCAATAGAAAATGTTCCTTGAAGTTTGTTTGAATGGAGGTCTAGGTAGGTAAATAATGAATTATTTGAGAGTGTCGTCGCCAGAGGTGGTTCTAGCTCTACCAAGTGGTTGGAAGAAAGGTTCAGATTGTGAATTCCCCACACCCACCTGGGCACCAAGCCTGCAATGTGATTCTTTGACAAGTCAAGAGTATTTATTGAAACTTGATTTTTTAGAAAATCAGGGATGTTGTGCAAGTTGCAAGAAGCCAATTGTAGTTCTTGTAGCAGGGGAAAAGAGGAGTTCACATCTACATCAATTACAACTGACAAGCGATTGAATGAAAGATTAAGGGATGTGAGGTTTTTGAGACTGAGTAGAATTTCAGCGAGCTTTAACGTGCCATTAAAACTGTTTGAGGATAGATCTAGCCACTCAAGTTGTCTTAGATGGAAAATTGACTTTGGGATTGGCCCTTCCAAGTTATTGCTGCTTAAGTATACTTCTGTTAACTTGGAAAAAACGGGGTTTGCAGACTCATTCAGTTGCCCACTGAATTTGTTATTTTCCAAAGCTAAGAACTCGAGTGATGGCAATGAAAACAATGACGAAGAAATATTTCCATCTAGTGAATTGAATGACAAGGAAAGTGACTCTAGATTGAGTAGTTTCTCCCAATTTTTGCCAGTGATAGAACCAACTAAACTGTTGTTGTGGAGATTTAAGGTTTTCAGTTTCTTCAATGATGAAAACGATGGAATATGACCAGAAAATTGGTTATCGTTTAGTTCTAGATCCTCGAGTAGGTTAAGACTTCCAATTGATGATGGAATGGAACCAGAAAACTGGTTAGCAGTTAAAACTAACCTCTGAAGGAGGTTTAGACTTCCAATTGATGATGGAAGGCTTCCATTGAATTGGCAGTCTACTAGAAATATTGTACGAAGACTCTTGAGATTGCTAATGGAACTTGGCAAGACCCCGGAAAATTTTGTACCGCTAATGGTCAGCTCCTCAAGAGACCCATTGATGTAAAAGACTGGTAAAGTCCCTTCTAAGTTGGAATTACCAGAAATGTCAAGGGTTCTAAGTGTGGGTACTTGGAAAATTTTATGAGGCACTATCCCGGTTAAGTCATTAGAGGATAGTGACAGCATTGTCAAGTTTGTGAGCCTGGTTAAAAACTCTGGTACTGGACCAACTAGAGAGTTAATACCCAAACGGATGACAGAAAGACGGTGAAGCCTTGAAAGCGAGTTGTGAATTTCACCTTCAAGGTGACATTCAGACATGCTCAAGACTTGCAAGTGAGGGAGCGATGATGCTAACGTCTGGCACCATTGGCTCCCTATGGCTGAAATGTTGACTCGATCAAGATAGAGTTCTCTGATATTCGTCAAGTTTCTAACTATATCAGCCAAATTTGGCCTATTCATGTATGTTCTGAAACTAAAAGAAATATCAAGAACAACTAATTTGACAAGGTTTGAGATTTCAATAGGTACCTGACCTCTGAAATTGGTGTCACTATAAGGTGCAGTAGACAAATTGAGGTAAGTTAGGCTAGACAGTTTGCCTATTGCTGAAGGTATCTCATCCTGGATCTTATTTTCACCCCCCAAATTCAAGCTCTGGAGGAACTGCAGACGAAACAAACTGCTTGTATTGTCGATGCCACCAATGATATTTTTGTTGCTCAAATCTAAGCCAAGGACTTTACCGTTATTTGAGTTGTCACATTCAACTCCGCTCCATTGGCAATAGTTTGTGCTGTGATTCCACCCCTCAAGCTTGTCTAAAGCTTCGGAGTTGTACTTAAGATTGTTTTTTAACTCAAGGAGTAAAGACTTTTGATCGTCGAGATATTGACTGGAGATAGAGTGCATATACAGGCAGCTGTATATCCATAAACAAATCATGAAAGAAAGACATGATGAAGAAATGAAAGGCGGCATTTTGGTATAAAAACAGAGGTAGAGTGGGCAGTGGGTTAGTTGCTTGGTGATGAAATGGAACCTTATAAAGATATTTTAATATCATTTTGAGGTTTATAAATTTCATGGTGTCCTCCATCATAAAATAAATTGAAATATATTGGCGGACAATTTTTGACCGTAGACTGATTATTTGACTTGAAAGTCCTTTTATAATATTGAAACATCCATCATCTTTTTATGTTACGATGTTACATTGAAATATCTAGCATGGAAAATTGGCAGTAATGGTTGCGAAGTTGCGTTAGCAAAGTGATTATGTGCCAATAGTGGAGTATTAGAAGGATTCAAACTTTACAGCCTGAGCTTTATGTACTGATTGATGTATGACTATTTGTGCTCGATTGCTCATATGAGTGTTACCATTGCAATAGCTTTTATTTCTGAGGCCCTATTTGGTTTGATGTAAAAGGTTTTTATGGAAAATGAATTTTCCATTTTTGTTTGGTTTGATAAGGGGTGGAAAACAATTTTTCCAAGGGTGGAATATTTCATCCTTAATGATGGAAAACATTTTCCTTTCCCAAGGGAAGCCACATTTTCCTCTCTCTTCCTTACCTCCTTTTTTTACTTCCCTCTCATTCATCCTTACATTTCCTCTCTTATTTTTTATTTTCTTAGACTTTTCTTGTATGCAACCAAACAAAGGAAAACTAATTTGCAATTGTGTTTTTCCTTGAAAATATGTTTTCAATGAAAACTAATTTTTCATTGAAAATGTTTTACATTAAACCAAACGGGGCTTTATAAAAGTAATCATCGCCCTTTAAACATATACTCCCTCCGTATTTTTTTAAGTATTACAGTTTGACCGGCATATAGTTTTAGGCAATTTAATTGACTTAAATAAAATAAGAGGTAAGTGGAGTAGTTGGAGTATTAAAAAATTGTTAAATAAAGATAGTGGGGACGTGGGGTTAATATTTTATTGAAAAGTAATTAATGTGAGAGAAAAAATGTAATAAAACCAAACGGGGCTTTATAAAAGTAATAATCGCCCTTTAAACATATACTCCCTCCGTGTTTTTTTAAGTATTACAGTTTGACCGGCATATGATTTTAGGCAATTTAATTGACTTAAATAAAATAAGAGGTAAGTGGAGTAGTTGGAGTATTAAAAAATTGTTAAATAAAGATAGTGGGGACGTGGGGTTAATATTTTATTGAAAAGTAATGAATGTGAGAGAAAAAATGTAATAAAAAAATTAGTAGTGGGTTTGGGTGGGAAGCATGAGAGGAGAGAGATATAATATTTTACTGTAGTTTTTTGCCAAAAAAAAAAGTACAACACTTATTAAAACACGGCTGGATTTAATGAGTGTAACACTTTTTAAAACACGGAGGGAGTATACGGAAATGCAGAGTATGCATGCATGTTTAATCTCCTCATTGATAATGAATTATGATTCTTCTTAATTGGTGCAAATACGAGAATTCTAGATTTCTAGGTGTTGGGTCTTGCTGTTATAACTTCAGTACGTATGTAAGATGGAATGAGCAATGTGTTATACATGCCTACATGGAGTCATGGACTAACCCCTAAAGGCCTGATTGTATGACTAGAACCATTATTTATGTTGTCCAGTAATGATTTTGAGCTTCAATGATAGAGTATAAAACATATTCCTTCAAAGTGGAAGCTTTTGATTAGTTTATTACTTGGTATGATTGTAGCAATGTGAAAATGCAAATGATTTTGTGTTCAGATCAGTATGTACTTGGTATATTTAATTGTATGGCTGTATAGAAAATTTAAATTGTGCTAAGCGTGACATAAATGAACTTTTCTCTTTGAAGTCTTTCGGATTTATAATTGGTATTCGGTATTCTAAGCCGCTTGTATGATTCTATGGCCATGCTTTTCGAACAATAAGTACACTTTACATCAGTTCAATTATAAAGGAGAAGTTATATCTTTTCGAACAATAAGATGATTAAATTTAACCAATAATTATAATTTATCTAATTAAGAGATAATTGTATGGTTTTTCCTCTGTATTTAATTTTTGGAATTTGGTCGCAGTGCTACGGTTGTTTAGCTAGCTAGTAAATGATTTAAGACCACTTATTCATGTAATACGCCATGAAAGGTCTACAATGTGACATGAAATGCAAACCAAGTCTTCCTGTAGGCGCACCAATATTGTTTGTCATTCACAATATAGATGAAATTTCTTGCATTATACTTCGTATATGGTACATTGTACATACTACAACTCTCTTAACGACAAAATATTCAGACTAATACAAAATTTGCTTAACCATTTGTCGATTACGTATAGAAAGGGTCAGATACAATTAAAAGTAGTTTCTCTTAATAATTCTAAGATATATAAGGCCATTATAAAATTTGGTCATTTTCTCAAAATTGACTGGTTTATTGATGAATTGGAAGTCATTAAATTGAAATTTCTGCCATGGAAAATTTGCAGTACATTCCAAAATGACACACTTGTTAATAGGGATATGTTTTGAATAGTATTAACTAGTTATGCCCCAGGTCATTTTTTGTATATAAAAAAATTAATAAATTAAAGTGAAATTTATTGGTGGTTTTATAATTTTAATTTTTTTTTTTAAATATTATTAAACATTATCAAAATTCATTAAGAAGTATGCAGTTACCTAACTTTTATACTTCATATTAGTTTGTTTTATTTGTTAAAGGAATTTTTAATGTAATTTTTATCCTCTATTATTAAAAATTTCTTCAAGGTAAACACATGTTGTGGTTTTAAAATTGCTATGTATTTTTGTGTTACATATTTAAAATATGTATAGCCTATATGAATTATGAATGAGTAAATGAAAGTATGAGATTATATTGAGGTATATGTATAAGTTCAATTAAAAATTTAGAATTTATGAACATAAAATTTTTGTGAGGAAACATTGATGATCATTTTTAATATGACATGACCTCACATCATTTATCAAGTCATGACGATAAGTGGCAAGAATAATGACACGTGGCATGATTACAATTCTTATCATGAGTTTTAATATATAAAAAGATATAGATATAGATTATTAAAGTGTTTATGTGCCAATTAGTTAACGTCGAGCATTAGAAAGATTTAAATAATACTAAATCCCTATAACAAAGAAAAAATTTTAAGCTTAATACAGAGTACAATTTTACAGTATAGCGTGACATTATTTGAGTTATATGTGTGTGTGTGTAAATATATATATATATATATATATATATTATATATTATATATATTATATATATATATATATATATATATAGTGGTGATCTAATGAAAAAGATCTTAAAATAAGAAGGATGAAAGAAATCTCAATCATTCATATAAAGCAATAATTTAGCGGTTAATATTAGAAACAAAAAAATACGCTACTCTACTTCATCTGATCTATTTCATCATCTGTCTACCGATCAAATATCACTAGATTATAGAGCTTAGCTCCCACTAATTCATACTACTCTTTCATCTGATCAAGACAGACCGATTTGTCCTCAAAATTTCACTATTCGTGCTCTTTAATTGACACTTCTTATTTTCTCTCTCTTCCTCTTGGATCTTCCTCCTTCAAGTTTCTGGATTTTTTATCTCCTTGCCTTCAATTCTTCCCTCCAGTAGAAGCAATATGATCATCTTCACCATTTTAGATCATAGATTTTCATTTCGAATCACCTCGCAACGTCAATGTGTTGTTCCACAACTCTTTAATGGAAATAGAAGATGAGAGAGAAAGAGAAATAGGGTGTTATTAGGTGAATGAATAAGAAAACTAAGCAATCTTAAATTAAATCTAAAGGATAACATGGAATGTCTATTGGAATTTGTATGGGATGATATGTGAAAAGGGCTGATATGTTCCATAAAGCAGACATATCAGCCATATTGGCTTTTCGATACTTGGCACGTGGCAATTTTATCATTGACACTTGGCGATAAAAGCCTTGCATGCCTTGTAGCCACTTGTCATAAAATTTATTATAAATAGTAGGTTAGGATTCATTAAATGGTAAGCATTTAATATCTCTCTTTCTCTCTCTCTCTCTCTCTCTCTCTCTCTCTCTCTCTCTCTCTCTCTCTCTACTTTCTCTCTCTTACTTACCTTCTCTTAAACACATTCTAACTTTATCATCGGAGTGGTTATCCCCGGACCACCCCGGGGTTAGCTAACTTCTGTTCATTATGTAGGTTCTCAGCTTTCCGATAGGAGTATCAGGACTCAGGTTCGGACTCTCGGGAAATCGGATCCAGATAGCAACAGAATTGACAATGTCGTGCTGACTCGTGCCCAAAATCGTTGTTCTTAGGTGAATGAATAAGAGGAGTAAAAAATATGCATATTTAGAATTAAAATTATGCACAAATTATGCACATTTGATTTAAATTATATGCATATCGAATTTCAGTCGAAAATATATGCACATTCAACTAAAAAAATATGCACATTCAGTACAAAATATATGCATATAAAATCCTTCTTACCCTTCTCATTTATTTTAAGATTCTTCTCATTTGACCCTATGTATATATATATATATATATATATATATATATATATATATATATATATATATATATATATATATATATATATATATCAATTACTACTGCAAGTTAATACCATTTTGTAAATTACTACCGCAAAATTAAAAAAGTTGTGAATTACTACCGCAAATAATTTTAAGATGTTGCGATTACTACCAAACCCCCATTAAAGAACCCAACTATGACATCATTATATCACTTTAACCAATTACTAGTGCAAGGTAGAATGGGCAGTGGGTTAGTTGCTTGGTGATGAAATGGAACCCTACTTATAAAGATTTTTCAATATCACTTTGAGGTTCATAATTTAGGGCCTGTTCTCATTGACTGAACTGAACTGAACTGAATTGAGCTGAACTGAAATTGAAATGAACTGAACTGAAATGAATATTTTATAAGAGAAGGAAATTAGGAGCTGAACTAAACTGAAC